ATCCTTATGGTGCCCCGGATTATCCCTCCCTAAAAATCTCATTACAACAAATAACAGAAAAACCTACCCCTAATTTCGGTAGCAAAAATAAAACATTCTCCTTCCATTGTTCAAGCTGATAAGAGTTATGGCCTAGACAGAGAGAGAAAGAAGAACTCAGCTGGAGGAAAGCACTAGGTAGGTGACATTGAGCAATTTACAGCAGATCAGCTTAATTTAATATAAAGAGCATATGGATGCAAATATAAAAATAAATGAAGCTAGGTTTCATGGTACTTAAAGAAGGCCGAGCCCCATATGTTAGCCTGCTGGTATTTTTCTATAACTGTTTTATTTGTCAAAAGTAAATAAGAAGAAGCTGTGGAGATAAAAATAAACTAATAGCAATTGTTGAACGACTCCTTCTAATTTCTCTCTTTAACAATACTTTCAATGGCAATAGCTGACATTGGATATATAATATAGTTGTTACCCACATATTAATGTCTACAGATCAAACTATAGAGACCAATTGTAATATTACCAAGTACCTAGGTAGTAATATAAACTTTTGCACCCACCAAAAACCTGAGAGAAATTGTTTATATTTCTAGGAATAAAATATCCAAAGTTATCATTCGCAACTGATTTCATTTTTAGAAAGTGTTCACTGGATTACATCCTTACTGAGTTTTTCAAGCAATATTTTCTTTCTTTTCAATTCTTTTTTCAGAAGTTTGATCCTCTTTCTAAGAAGGGGGAAAAGTCACAGATGTCCTTGATACCTTTGGAGGCCCACCCCATTTACATCTGTTTTTCTGCAAGCCAATCTTGTGTGCCTGAGTTATATAATTTTTTTCAGGTCAAAGCTCCATAAATCTTTAAGTGTCATACTACAGCCACACTCTAAAATCAGCAAGGCCAATACAAAAATCAAATACATCAAATCAAGTTTCAAATAATGTTCATTATTGTCACTGATCCACAGTGAAGTAAAATAAAATATAGTAGTTGCCAAATATTGATACATACATAGGGATATATAACAGTAGCATGAACTGCCAATTGCATTACATTGACCATACTGCTCACCTCAACATTAGCAGAGTGATGGCTGCAGGACCTGGGTTTGGCTAGTCTAAAGAAAAGAAGAAATAGGGGAGACATGATAGCAGTGTTCCAATATTTGAAGGAATTAAGGAGAACTCTCTGGACAGTGAAGACAATTAACCAGTGGAACATCTTGCCTTCAAAAATGGTGGCCGCTCCATCACTGGAGTTTTTTTAAGAAGAGGCTAGACAGTCACTTGACTGAGATGATATAGTTTCTCCTGCTTGAGCAGGGGGCTGGACTAGAAGACCTCCAAGGTCCCTTCCAGCTCTATTCTATTCTATTCTATTCTATTCTATTCTATTCTAAAATGTTCTATTAACATAGTTAAGCATTGCATGCTAGTGGTGTGTGTGAATTTGGCTGTAAAAAGTCTACATTCTAGAGACCATGTCTGGTACAAGGTGATGCTTATAAACTCATTTGCTCCCATGGAAAACACGTTTAATGAAGAGAAGGACGAGGGGGAACATGATAGTATTGTTCCAATATCTCAGGGGCTGCCACAAAGAAGAGGGAGTCAAGCTATTTTCCAAAGCGCCTGAAGGCAGGACAAGAAGCAATGGGTGGAAACTAATCAAGGAGAGAAGCAACCTAGAACTAAGGAGAAACTTCCTAACAGTTAGAACAATTAACCAGTGGAACAACCTGCCTCCAGAAGCGGTGAATGTTCCAACACTGGAAGTTTTTAAGAAGAGACTGGACAGCCATTTGTCCGAAATGGTATAGGGTTTCATGCCTGAGCAGGGGGGTGGACTAGATGACCTCCAAGGTCCCTTCCAACTTTACTATTATTATTATAATGTCACCAAAATATGGCAATTCAAGCCTAGTGATTTGAGTGAGTGAGAATTCTGGACCAATTTTTATGATATGCTTGTTTTTTCTCTTGGCTATCCATAATATTCTCAAGAGTCTTCTCCAATATCAAAGCTCAAAAGCATCAATATTCTATTAGTCTTGCTTCTTCAAAGACCAACTGTTATTTATAAAATATATTTTGAAGTCACCAGATTTCAAAGGTATAATAATGCCTTTCAGATATTGTGGTAGAAGCACCAGAATTTCTTTGCCATGGGCAATATTCCATCATGCAGCTATATTCTGAACATTTAATATTTAATTTATTTGCTGCAATTTATGTGCCACCTACTTGAGGATTTTTAAACAATAATAATAAGCTCTATAAAAAAGCACTGCAGTTGTGTATATTCAGGTGATAAAAGCAGATCCAGTTATAAAAGAAAGCAAGTTGTATTTTGATTTTATCTAAAAATCTAATTTATTTTCTGGGAACTCTGTTCACTTCTGTTCTTAAAAAAAGAAGCACTTGAGAACCTATTGGAAAATGATCTTTGTTGTTGATAGCTGGGCACCATCTTGTGGATATTTCCAGTGACTGCAGGGTAACTTGAGATTTCAAATATTTTTATCAATGAGACTTTCCCAGAAATAGTTTCACTGAGCCAAAAGCAACAAGGTAAATTATAGATTTTAGAAGAGAAAAAATTACTGACCGAGTTACAAGGAACTAAGTATGATCTCATAATAGGCTAAACTTCGAAAGAATAATATGTAGTAGTATATATTAAGATTCTGTGCTATGCCTTTTAAAATATATCTCAAAATGATGCTAACAATATTAATAAAGATCAATTATGCATAAAAAGATCAATTATGTATGCCTTTATATACTTTTAGATTCACTTCTGATGCTTTATGACTAATTTTGCTAGGATACCTGGTAGGTCCATTTTTTAATATCAATTTTTAAAAGAGCTTCACATATTCCCTTCATTCAAGCAACTTTTTCAAATCCTTGCTTTCTCTATGTTTTTTGGAAATTGCTTTCTATACTTTTGAAAGATGTTAATTTAAGGATATTCATAGAAGGGAAATGTAGTTTAGTCTGAGTTATACATAAGATTGTCTTATTCTTTCAGTAATTCTTTCAATTATAGTTTATATTATTTTCATTTTGTTAATGCTTCCCTTCCAACTTTTTTTTAAATTATTATTATTATTATTATTATTATTATTATTATTATTATTATTATTATTATTATTATTATTACTATTATTACTATTATTATTACTATTACTATTATTATTAATGCATTTTACTGTATTTTACTATTCCTCTCCATTTCATTTTATATTAACATGCTCATTGGAATATTCCTTTTTGACAATGTTAAATATTCTTAAATCTAAGATTGAAATGAATCTTAATAAATCCAGCAGTGACATTTGTTTTAAGTGTTATGGCCTTTAGGCTATTCAGTCGCAGTGAGGACATGTCTGATATGTGGTTAGCTCTGAGCAAATTGCCTTTAAAATAATTTTTTTCACAAGCTTTTCTTGTTACCATAATAGAATATTCAGAGTCCTTTTGTGTGTGGCAGAAAGGGAATGAGGGAAAAAGAGAAGTTGCATCACCAACCTAAAAACAGATGGGCAACTCACAGGTATTCCTTCAAATAAACATATATTTCTTAAAAGTCAATTCCATAATATGGAAGAAAACTGGAAAAAGAAAATCATGAATGACAGAAAGTATGGTAGAGATTTTGGATTATGAGCAGCTAAAATGTGCTTTCTAAAAGCTAAGTTGTGTGCTTTTTAATGGTTTAATAGCAAGCATGTATTATAGGGTTCACAATGAATATTGAATAGATATATTTTGTCCCAATTCCGCCTTAATGCCTTCATTCTTTTATTATGATCACTGACTAGAATTCTGCAACTTAAATCAAATAAACAGATTCTACTTCAAGTAATTCAACAAACATAAAATTATAACTACATCAATAACATAATCAAGACATGTTGAGTTTTGCAGATATAACAACATTTTGCCACATTCAGGAAAACTGAATCATATTGATCCAACAGGAGTAGCTCTACTTAAAAAAAGTTGAACATTTATGGATACTTCACCAAATAGGGAGTTATGAAATAGGCCTTGTGTCCCTATTGAAAGCTCAATATACATGGAATAGGAATTGGGCTAGGAATTTAAGGGGATTGTCTCTACAAGGACACAAATTAACATGTGGAATGTTTTTATAGCTCAGAATTATATTGATCAAATAGCCTTCCAAGTTTCAGGCACATTGCTTCAGAGCAGTAACGCTCTATCATAGCCAGACATTTTTGAGAATCCACAATGTTGGTTTTTGCAGGGATTAATTTTTCCATGTTAATTCATAATTATCTGCCTTAATCAAAGAACCCAGACCTTCTGAATGAAACAATAAAGGAACAAAGATACGAGTTTAAATGCAACTGAAATTTTAATTTAGGTCTAAACAAGAATCATTCTGAAAATTGTGGTGCTAAATCTTTATTTCACTGACTTGATTCACACAATATGGTATTACCATAGTTTATTAAATAAATCACAATTAGCTAAATTTTCACAGCATGACAAGCTATAAAATATGGTTTACAAAGCCCAATGGCTGTATTCATATTACATGCTAATCCAAAACCAAATTCCATTAAGGCTTAATACAATGTATAAGTCCAATCAATGTTTATTCTTTGTTGGTGTAACTATAAATAAACATACTATAACATTATCTTGAATAAGTACAGGCTGAAATCTTGTGTCTGTGTGTGTATGTACACACATACACATGCTCGTGTATATGCTTATTACTTGATTTCATTATATCTAATTATTGCATAACAGACAACTGAATATCTGAACTGAAAACCACTGAAGCGGTGTGAAGGAATACAAATATTTGATGATTTACACATACAAATCATCTTAATATGCAAGTTATAAACATTCAAATTTGAACCACCTTCAAGGTTATTTTGTGTTTCTAACATACCAGACGACTACAAGAAAAATGGAGTCCATGTCATACTTGGTTGTTCTTCTATCTTCTCTACTCTATCACTCATAATTCAAATCAGGGTAAAGTAAAAATCCCATGAAAGTTGAATCATTAATATTATCAGCATAGATACTACTGTTTTCTTCTTCTCCATATAACTGTAGCCAAACTTCATCCCCCGATGCCAAATGGAGTAAAACAGATCCAGAAGCCTGATCCACATCATTCTTCTGGTACTGGTCATAGGTGATTATGATTGCCGTGTCCTTCTTGAATAAACTAACTTTCACATCTGAGGCATATACACTAAGATGATATGCAAAATAGTATACTCCAGCAGTGGTGCATTGGAACTTTCCTGTAATTGTATCATAATGATTTTGTTCATTGTAGAAGATCTTTGTAAATTTGATAGGCATATTAATATAAGAAACTCTGGATGTTAAGCCAACACTAAAGGCAGATCGATAGATAGTGGCACTTTCCCCCCTTTCCCCCTTCGATCCTGGGTATCCTGAAATACCTGGCACTCCTTGAAGACCTATAGTGCCAGGAACTCCTAAGGATCCTTTATCTCCCTTTTGACCAGGTGTACCTATAAAATAAATGGGTTTTTTTATTAGGATAGTTCATTCTCTTTTTTTCATGTCCAAGTTTTTTATTAATTTTCCAATATTACATTTACATATTTGAAAAGTAGCGTGGTGGTTGAGCATCGTAATTCCATTACATTTGAATATCATCAGTACAAATCTCAAAGTATTACAACAACTAATTCCCTCTCTTTCCCCCATAAGATCTACTGTCATATTCAGATCAATACAGTTCTTGTTCTATCAATCAAACAAAAAAATACCTTTCTAGTATTCATCAATAATTTTCAGTCTATACATATCTTAATTAATTTGACATTCCATCTTTTAGACAATAACCTAATAAGTTTTCCTTAACTTTAATTTTGCATTGATATTTAAATTTAATGTTTAATCTTTATCATTTCCGGATTTTAAATGATCCCAATTTCTCAGTCTCCTATCTCATATTTAGGACTAATAATTTTTTTTCCTTTTCCTTTTTCTACTTCCTTCCTTTCTTCCTTTCCAAAAAAAAAGAGAAAATAAATAAATAAACCATCAACATTTATACCACAAGCCAATATACGAATTTAATTATTAGTATTTATACTTCTAAGTTTTATTTAACCTGTGTCTCAACTCATGACAATATCTTAAATTCAAGTCTTAGTTATCTATAAACATTCAAACTTTTAGCAAATCAGTAACCTGGTGATTAATTTTCCCTTAATATTTTAATTTAACATTTAATATTTATCTTTTTTAGGATAGTTCATTCTCATTCAACTAAAGAATCTTAGCTGATTATATTATATGCCCTTTATTTCCCTTCAGAAGGACAAGACACCAAATTAACAAGTCCCTTTATAAATGGCAATAACAGCTATTATAATATTACAGTTGGAATTATATCCTGTGATTGTTTATCATGAATTCCAAGGGCGTTCTCCCATATTCTCAGAGTTATGAGTTTAGTGATACTACTTCATCAAGAACAAGTAGAATGACTCCTAGCTTCATTTCCCTCATAGTTGTACTTTTTGGTGTTCAGGTTTTAGACAAACAAGATCCCCACATTCAACTGCTATTAAATATGAGGGTTTAATTAATCACAAACTTGCAGTTGCCAACTCCCTGCTAGCTTCCGAAGATATGGAGCCATTCTAATCACACAAGAAATATTGTTCCATAGGAAGGGAAAGCAGTAGAGAGGATATGAGTCTGACATCCCTAACAATAATACTGTCCTAGAATATGTTACTAAATAGACAGATACCATTGGAAGCACGTAGCCCTAAAGATGCACTAGTGCTATTAGGGGCACTCCAAAAGTAATTGGGCTAGATTGTTCTGTGGTCATAAATGTATCAAAAGTTCTAAAAAATCCCTTCCTTGGGAATTTGCATTTGTATACCTCAAGGCACATATGGCCAGGTTGTCCTCAGATCTAATTTAGTTGTAAAGGGAATCCAGGTGCTAGTTGGTGTAAGATTACCAAGGGAACTACAGACTGATTTATATAATGGAGGAGATAGCAGTATTTCTATTGAGGGATGGGAATGGATTGCCCAGCTATTTCTGGAAAAATCTATTATCTGCCCATAAAAGAGTAGATGGGACAGAATATAATAATTTGAGAGGCAACAATAGATTTGGATCAATAGGAAAGAAAAACCAGTTAGTAAACTAGCAAAGACAGAAGTACTAGCAGTAGCAGGAGAAGCAATAAGTTTTATTTTAAATGAGAAGGAGGATAACGCTATCCTTGTCCCTAACAGTCTTCTATCTCTAGATGTGCATCTTTTTGAGTCTGCCATTTATTTTGATTGCAGTAGTTTCTGCAGAACACTCAGGGCTCACAAATATTTACCTCTCATGGCTGCATAAGTATGCATCAATAAATAAGTGATATAATAGCTGGATATGTTCTGCTTTGCCAGTACATGGACATGGTGGGTTCCCATTGTATATAGAGCCTTTATTAGAACATGACTATTATCAGCTAGATACTTTTAGGAAAGTATTATAAGAAAAACATATCTCTTTATCATATTTAACTAACGATAAGCTTTTCATGGTAATGACAATGATGCAGATTCTCATAATATTGCTTTTAGTTGTCATGAGACAGAGAGGAAGGCTAGAAATGCCAGTATATATGATAGCCAGCCATGATGTTTGCATAACACCCTTATTTGTTCTGACAGTCAAATCATCTCACAAAAAAGGAAAGAAGGTTTCCCCCAAGATGGGATGAACAGGTGAACAATATTGGAAAAATACAGTAAAATCACTTTATATTGGAAAGTGTTTATAAATTGGAGAATGCAACAGGACTGTAAATGGATGTATCAAATGGGACTTTGGGAATGTGTGGAGCATGTTCATGGCCTTGGCTTCCACCCAGTTGGATAAAAAGATGTTACCTAGGGATGGTTTGGTTCCATTATTATTTTAAAGTCACTTTACCCACTTTTATTTATTCATTTAGTGAAAGGCATCTACAGAGGTCATGCAATCACTGATATACTATTTTAAATTACTATACTTGGAAGGTACTATAGATGGCAAAAAAAGGAATGTTTTTTAATATTGGGGCTATAGAGTATCTTTAATTTCCCCTGTTTGAGTGGGGCATATCATGATTAAAGTTAATGAATTTGCAGATCTCATTTCACAGTCCTTGAACACTACTGTTAATGCCTTAGCAGCAGTAAATCAAGAACTTGATCGAATGAGACAAGCAATTATACAAAATCAACTGGCTCTCCAATGTGCTAAATGCTACTCTAGAGGAACTATGTGCCATTATTAAAGTGGAATGATGTCTGTTCATCCCAAACAAGGCTAAATCTATATACTACTAAAACTTTTGAGACCCATTGTGATGGAATGATGGTGTGTTGCGTAGCCAGCACAGTGATGTAATCCTGATACAGATTTTCCTGTGCCTAAATCACAGCTTTTGTATCTTTGATACCTGGCTTGTATCCTTTCACTAACTTTTCAAAATAGTTAATAACAATCACAATTTGTTCAGGATACATTTGTTCTCCTATGTGATATCCCTAGTTTGTCTATATAAAATGTATTACCATATTTCTAGAACGAGAGAAATCTATCAAACCATGAGTTATGAATACTTAAATTAAAGTACTATAACTAAAATAATAATTATAGACAACCAAAGGATTTGCAGCAGTGAATTTTTGATACGTGATTTTTGTCAAAGTCTGTCAAACACCTCCCCAAAACCCAAAATAAAAAAAGTTCTTTAGTCTATGGCATTTCCTAGAAACTTTTACTCCTTTGTCATCCCCACTTCTTTTTTAAAAAAAATCATACTTAATTTGTTGGGTTTTATCTTACTTTATTGTTTAGTAATTTTTAATGTTCAAGTTAATGTTTGTAAACATACAGGTTTTTTCCTGTCTCAACTTCAATGAAAAAAAATCAACCTTACAATTTTATTTTTAATAACCTGCTATTCCTCCTTTACCTGTCATGTTAAGAATCTACAGCCATGAGAAAAAAGAATAAGTATCCTCTTCTAGAATATATATTTATTCAATATTGTTTAATTTTCTCCTAAGTATGTTACTTGATAAATTCTGGTAATGTATTTTATAGTGTTGTTTTTTTTTCTTGTGCCTTCCTTCATTATTGGATTCTATTGCTGTCATTTTATTCTTTTTAATTGTTTTATCAGCTGTGATATGACCTATCCAGATGCATTTGGGAAGCAACTTTCAGAATTTACAGCAGATATTTTTGGAAAGAGTTGCTGGCCAAACAAATCTGAAAAGTTCTGGGAAGACTGTCAAGCAACACTGGCAGTCCTGAAAAGAAAAGAGAAACTAGATACAATATTCATAAATAAATGTATTTTTTTCCAGTAAGTTAAATCTGTAAGGACATCAGTTTTTCTTTCATCCATCTTGTTCGGCTGCACTATGTGCACCTAATGACTCATGACCAACATAATTCAGATTTTCTTTAACATCAACATTCTTTTTCTAGGGCATGTATAGCATTGTATATTTCTGTTATGTTCTTTCTATAAATCTGAAGAAAAAAATTGGAAAAAGGACTATCTTGAGAATTACTGGTGTAAATCAGTGTTTCTCAAACTTGGCAACTGTAAGATGTGAGGGGTTCAACTCCCAGAATTCCCCAGCCAGCCAAACTGGTTGGGAAATTTCTGAAGTTGAAGTCCAAACATTTTAAAGTTGCCAAGTTTGAAAAACAATGGTGTACATAATCATTTCCATCCCATTTAATCAGGAAACCTAATTTAAATGAATTAAAGCAGGCTTACTCTCTTGATGTCACCCAATATATTACACAACACTTCCCATAATCCTTAGCTAGCACAGGAATTGTGTTCCAAAATACCTGGAGAACACTAGTTTGAAGAATACTGCACATCAAACATACCATTCTCACAGAAAAAAGATGAACACTAAATCTATCACCTTGCTCTCCTTTCTCTCCCTTTTGGCCATCTCTTCCATCCCGTCCATCTCTCCCAGCTTCTCCATTATGACCTGGGTGACCTGGTGCTCCAGCCATCCAATTTACACAAGATCCTTGGGGTTGTTGAGAGTTTTCTTCTGCAGCAACTTCATGGTAACAGCTAAGCATCACTAGCAGCACCATAGAACAAAAAAGAAGGGTTGATCCTTGCTTCATGTTTAACCTGGAAAAAATATAGTGTAATACTATCAATGATAGGTTTTTTTTAGAAAGAAGATACATTTCTGCAAGAGCGGGAGAAAGAAGTTGTGGCCCTCTAAGAGTCATTGATCTACAGCTTTCAATATTTTTCAGCAATGGTCATGGTGGCTGAAGCTGCTGAGTTGAAAATAGCAATATCTCGAGACCTTAGGACAGGGGTTCCTAACCGAGGATGTGAAAACTTGGGTTTTCAAAATTATAGTGTATATGCATAATTCGTTGCCGTTATTTCAAACTTTTGTAAGGGGTGTGAGAATATATCAAAAGCATTCTAGGGGTGCGGGGTATAGAAAAGGTTGGGAGCTGCTGCCTTAGGAAATATCATTGGAAGCTACTTTGTCTCAATTCAGGCCTTTTCTCAGTCTGATCCAGTCTGAAGGCCCATCTATTCCGTGCGGCCGGCCTGGCGTAGTTTGATTATGTTTTAGTGGGGTTTTTGTATGGGGTATTTTTAGAGCAGGCCTGTTATTTAATTTGATTTTAGAACAGAAATCTGCGTATATTTATCATGGTTTTTATTATCGCCTGTTCACCGCCCTGAGTCCCGTAAGGGAGATAGGGCGGTATATAAA